TACCTGATTCACTTCTAGGATCCAATTTTTGACGTTTCTCTTTGGGAATATGTGTGTACACTTTTGTCCCAAATACTCTCAGATGTTTTATATCTGGCATTTTATTATAAAATAATTCATATGGACACTTACCTTCCACAGAACTTTTACCAGTTAGATTTATCGTGTATACTGCCGTATTAACTGCTTCAGCCCAAAATGATAAATCCATTTTATTAGCATGAATCATTGTTCTCGCAGAATCCATAATTGTTCTGTTTTCTCTCTCGATTTTTCCATTTTGAGGAGAAGAGTAAATTTGAGTCTTCCGATGTTGTATCCCAAATGTCTGAAATATTCTAGTTACATCATCATTTAAAAATTCAGTACCATTATCTGTCTGAATCGCCTTTATCTTAAAACCTGAACCTGTTTTAAAACTTTTTATAAATAACTTAAGTTTATTTTTCACTTCACTTTTATGTTTCAAAAAATATACCGTACGAAATCTACAGTAATCGTCTTTACATAGTAGAAAATACCTTGACCCGCCTTTCGATTTCTTTTGGATCGGCCCGCACAGGTCTGCATAAATTAAATCACCTATATTTTGTGAAATATTTGTCCTGGTTTTAAATGACTTTCTCGATTGTTTGCCAATTATACAGTCATCGCATTGAAAAGTGTCGTCTTTGTCTGGTACCTGTATATTATGTTTTAACAAACACGTTCTTACATACCCGATATTTTGATGAGCTAATCTTTTATGCCAAACACGTATTGAATCAGCCATTACTGCTGTTGCATTCGCTTCAATATTTTTAATTGAATCATTTGTATTGCCCGTCAATGTCACGTCTGTAGAAACCTGCAATACTTTTATTTTTAAATGATATAAACCGTTGTTGCGTTTACCTTCGCAAACAACTTTGTTATTCTTCAAGAAAACGCACATTTTACTGTCAGACTTCATTATTAATCCCTTATCTAGTGCTGCACCACAACTAAATAAATTAAACTTTAAGTCTTTTACATACAACACATTTGATAAATAATTTTTGTACATTTTGTTTTTAACTTGACAAGATATATTAATTCTCCCAGAACCTTTTGCCAACAAAACTGATCCATCCCCGATTGTTACTTTTGCTGGTGAATCAAATTGTTTGTACTCACAAAACCATTCCATATGTCCTGTCATATGGTCAGTTGCTCCACTGTCGAGAAACCATTGATCCTCTTCTTTTTCCGTGAATAATAATTCACTATAGAAGGCTTGCCCTGTTGAACTTGAATTTGAAGAATCGGATTTCGCACCCTCTTGATCCTTTTTGTACTTTCTGCAGTCCCTTTTAAAATGACCTGGTTTTTGACAATAAAAACAGGGACCTACCTTTTTAGTACCAGTATTTTGTTTACTGAATTTTTGTTCAACTGACTTCTCACCACTCGGCTTCTTAGAAAATTTCTTTTGAAACTTTCTGGCAGTCAAAGCATTATTTTCTTCTGCTTCAACCCCTGAACTAACCTGTTGCATTCTGGATTCTTCTATAAGTAACCTAGATGTTAGAACATTTAGATTTTTACTCGCCTCAGGAACACTATCCCAAGCGCTGTAAAAATGTTTGTAAGTCGATGGTAGAGTCATTAAAATTTTGGTTATTAACATCCCTTCCGAGATATTTTCTCCTAGTGAGTTGAGTTGGTTCCGTAAATTTTGAAGTTTACTTATGTGGGTCGATATATCATCAGAGGAATTTTTACTATAACTAAAAAATTTATTTTGTAGTAAATGTACACTTGCCTCTGTTTTTTGCTCGTAGACACTCAGCAACTTATTCCACATTTCATTGGCGGTTTGACAATTAATTAAACATTGTAACGGTCCATCATCCACTGACGTTACAATTATCTTTTGGCATTTTCCGTCTGCCCTTCGCCATGCAGATATTTCATTAGCACACCTCGCCCGTGCTTGTTCTTCTGTTTCAGTGGATGTTTTGACTAACCTTGGTTTTGGTATTTCTCCGCTAAGTATTCCTTCCAGGTCAAAACTGTTCACAATGACCCTTATTTGGAATTTCCATAACAGCCATCCTTCTGCACTGGACAACTTAGTAATCTTGACCGAATCTTCCATGACGTCGATCGAACTGTACAATTGTCTGTACCAAGAAATATTACCTTTAGTCAGTAAGTATGTATTGGTCAGTATTCGATGTTTGACTTTTGAGTATCGTGGTCTGGGCCAATAACCTGTTGAGATTAATTGTAGTGGAACACAAAAGAAATAACAAACAAACACTTTGAGTAATAATAGAGTTAATATTATAGACACAAGTTAAACCAATAATAACAATACAATATAGATATATGTATAAGTCAGAAGTAACAAGCACATTAACAAAATAGTAACTGTGGAACGAGTGTGTCCCCTTGTCCACATACAAAGGTATTTATATCATAAATCTAGGTTAAATCAATTCATACAAAATACTTTCTAAGATTTCACATACAATAGTGTCTTCCTCGACATACTAAACTAATCACATTAAAACTATCTTAGAATATTAATTACATTTCAACAAAGATAGGAATCGTCTCTGAACACGTTCTAATTGACAGGAGTCCGCTAACGTATAAGGGTCCCATAGGACAGATGCATAATCTAATAAGGAACGGACCAAGGAGCAATAGATTGTTTTCAGAGAAGAATATAATTTAAACTCTTTCGAAATACGTATTACGAACCCAAGCGTTTTTATAGCTTTGCAACATAACATTTCAATATGAAAGTGAAAATTAAGGTCAGTATTAAAAATAATACCTAAATCTTTCTTACTACTGACAGATGTCACATTAGAACCGTTGATTGCATACGTATAACTGATAGAGGAGCGGTGTTTAAAAAATGACATGGAATGACATTTATTCACATTAAACTGCAAACCAATAGTATTAAACCATGCAACCATGTTGTTTAGGTCCTCCTGGAGCGCAGAGCAGTCAGATAAGTTTTCAATTTTCCTAAAAAGCTTTAAGTCATCAGCAAACATGAGAAATTCACAATTTTTGATAACCCCTTTGATGCCATTTACATACAGTGAAAACAAGATCGGGGATAGATGTCCTCCCTGAGGAACTCCAGAAGAGACTTTAGAGATGGAAGATTTACAGCCGAATACTTTAACCCATTGAACTCGGTCGGATAGATAGGACTTGAACCACGACAGCAGTGGTTCGCCAAACCCGGACTTGTATAGAGCATCAATTAGGTAGCCATGGTCAACTCTATCAAAGGCTTTTGCAAAGTCTGTGTAAATAACGTCTACTTGGATGTGCTTTTCAACAGCCTCCATAACAAAGTTGTTAAATACCATTAAATTCATAGTGGCCGAGAGACCAGGTCTGAACCCATACTGCTCGTCGATTAGAATTGAATTAACAGAAGATTGAATATTTCTCAATACCAGTTGTTCGGAAAGTTTGGATAAGTGGCACAAAATTGAAACTGGTCTATAATTTTTGACATCGTTTTTATCACCCGATTTAAATATAGGAGTGACAGAGCTAATCTTAAGGATAGATGGGAAAACTCCACAATCAATGGAACGCCTAAAAAGTAGCCACAGTGGAAAACATAGTGAAGATTTAATATTGTACAAGAAAATACCTGATAAGCCATTTGGGCCTACTGACTTTACATTTTTTAGGGCATCTAGGCCATCATCAATATCATCGATGCTGAATGAGCAAGTGCTAGGCAGGTCATGGCACAGGAATGAAGATGGAGAGTCAATAGATAATGGTGGAACATAGACTGAATTAAAGTATTGGGAAAATAAATTCGAAACTGACTCATTGCCCGAACTTTTTATGTTCTCAAAATGCACAGTGTGGGGAATCTCATTGCTTGACTTATGAACTCGGGCAAAATCCCAAAACGACCTAGGATTAGATTTTAGCATAGACTCAGTACGAGACAAGAAGGCAGTATGGCATTTCTTATACTCAGCCTTGTAAGAAGCTCGAAGTGTAGAGAATTCTGCATAGTCAAGGGGGCAGTTTGAAGTTTTAAACTTTGCATGCGCTCGTTTCTTACTACAAACAATATGTTTAGATTACTAGAAAACCATTTCGGAAATGTGGAAGGTACGTAAGACCCTTCTGGAACAAAGTTTAAAATGCAAAAGTGCAAAGCATCATAAAGTGCATTTGCTGCCTTATCGACATCTCATACCATAGAGACATTATGGTCACTAACCAATTAAATGAATCTAGAAATTTACAAATTTCTGTATAGGGAGCATGGCGGAAGTCGAAATAATTATGGGAACGATCTAATATAGGGGAAACATTATCCAATTTTACCATAATATCAAGAGCCGGGTGGTAAGAATCGCAAGGCACCGCGGAGTTTTCAGCTTTTAAAACCTAGATTCTTTTGTCGTTGGAAAGCACTAGGTCCAAGATACCACCAAAAGAGTTAAGAATGTCATTGAGCTGGAAGAAGTTATAAAAAGCAAATGCTTCAGGGATACATTGTATTCTAGGTTTTGAAATAGAGTTGTATAATAAACCAAAATCGTCATTGGACCATTTTACATCTGGCAAATTGAAGTCACCGCAAAATATGAAAACACAATCTGGGTGAAGGAGAAGAACGGATTGCACAGTGGACATAAAAGCCTCGTAAGCCGAAATAAGGCAATTAGGAGGAAAGTAAACAGAGCACACAACATAGTTGGTATGATTATAACTAAATTTAACAAAGACATGTTCGACATTAATCGCAGGATTACAAATTAAATTAGATACGACATCATTGCGGATGGCGATGAGATCACCACCACCTCTTGAAAAACTACTTGTTAAGCTAGATCTGTCACATCTATATACAATATAGTTAATTAGACCTAGTTCATTGTTATAGAAGCTATTACAGAGCCATGTTTCGGTGAAACAAATAAAAATATAGTCAAAAACAGCAACATTACATTTTAAAATACTTAATTTGGTTCTTAGGCCCCGACAATTTTGGTAATAACCTAAGAGAACGCGGTTACAAGTACATAAATCACTACATAGACAATAATCCTTATTGTTAAAGTTATTTCCGTGTACATCAACAGTAGGAGTAGAGATAGACGAACATGAAGATATTAGTTTTTTGGAGTGGAATTTAGAATCATCTCGGGGGTAAGACGACCCCAGAAGCGTTTGACCATTACGCCATCAGGCCAGAATGCAGGTTCGAGGACCTCATCAAGCTTCTCCGCAGGCAAGCGTACGTGGAATGAGGAGTATGATGGGTGTCTTGTTACCATTTTATTAATGGTCACTTCTGAGTAACTATTGAATAATTCAGATTCAAGCATGGTAGACGTAACGCATGGATCAAGTCTCGAGACAAAAATATCAGCATGTTTCCGCACGGGAACTGAAGACAGCTTAGAGGACGAGTTTTTATGAGAACCGACGATGAATCTTGGTTTTGAGGCCGAAGGCTGATTATTGGTCAATTGGTTTCCGGGCTGTCTAGGACGAGAATCCGCATCCAGCTTCGGGTGAACAGTAATTATTGGCAAATTTTTGGGTTCTGCATTCGATTTGGAAGCAAAGGTACCACTTGTTGACATATTGAGACGGTTCAATTTGTCATGTAATTTAGAATTACTGAGTGCCACAGATTTGAGCTCTTCGACAACGGATTGTAGAATGGAGGCTACATTTATTGGATTTTCAGGTGAAATCGTTATCGGGTTAGAAGAAGAATTTTTTTAAAAATAGTGACAAGTCTTCACTAAATTTAACACCAACAGGTAAAGATTGCGCAACAATGTAGTCAACAAGCATATTTTTTGTCCACTTATTTAGCTCTGCAGAAAGGAGATCATTATTTTGGGACATTATGCGTTTACGGTTATCGTTGGTAAAGTAGGCAATTAATCAAATATGACGCCTTGAACAATGCAGATAGGCCAAATAATTTGCACAATAAGTATGATAATAATAACAATAAATGGTGGCCTTGACACGTGCCGGATTCAATCAGAAATAGCAGTCACGGGTCGCAACTGCTTATCTGAACCAATAGAAGCCGTACTTTACTGATAAAATTTAGTTAAATTTAATATACCTTTCCGCTATGTAGTTGAAGGCAAATTAAAAAACTGACATTGAGTGAACAGGTATTAAGCAGACTGACTCAACAACGACACCAGTCTGTACACGCACTTATTATGAACTTGACGAACTTAAAAAGTAAAAAAACGGGTAATTTGATCCAAAGTTACAAAGAATAGAACACGGAGCGATATGAACGTTAGAACGTATATATAGTTATATACGATATTATACTACTATTGAAAATTAAGAAAATAATTGCAGTTAAATAGAAATTTAAAGAAAATGGAATTTGTGATTTATTGAAAGGGTAAAATCCATTTTCAAATGGTGCTTGGTGGTAGTTATTAGGTAGTAATTTAAATATAGTTTAAGAACATACCTTGTTCAGTGATGTTTATTGGGGTAAATGTTGAACTGTTGAAATGTCCGGCTTGACAACCATCAGGCATTACTGAAAAATAATTTTTATACACATTATATTTTACAAACAACCATGCTACATTAAATTGTTATTATTATAATATGTAACTTCATCATACCAGTCACATAGTTTGAATCGTCAGCGTCAAAATCGCATCTAAAAAAACAGTATGTGTTAGACTGGAGGAAAATACGCGACATGCCAATAAACTATTATAAAATAATATGAGCTTACCGGTGTTATTGTTAATATCATCATTAGATGATATTAGATGAATTATCAAGGTCACAGACAAAAACAGAAGATTTAAAATCATTTTCTGTGTCACAGACTACATATCGTTGCTATAAAAAAAAGGTATATTTATATATTTAGGCCGTAACATAAAATAAATAAACTGGAGTTTGATTCCGATTCACCTTAAACATATTTTTGTAACATTTAAGCTATGCCTGACATACATACATGTACATATGTGGAACAACAAAACAAATACGAAGAGCGCCATAAAAATAAGACTGGAACCAGCTTATACCACCTTGTACCAAGTTCCATCTACGAGTGCAGTGTTCATACACCATGATTCTCAAGAAAGTAGTGAGAAAAATGATTTTTTAATTATTTAGTATAAATTTCATATTTTATACAGTAAGTAGATAAGTTGATTAGAAAACCAAACATTGGAAAACTAGATCGTTCCATAAATAACCAATAGATAATAAATAACTTGGATTTCGATCCCGTTTCACACAAAAAAACACCTTTTGTAACATTTTAGCTATGTCTAAAACAAACGCGGAGAGAACAAAAATAATTAAAAGAGCGCCAAAAATCTATTTTCGGAACTTCTCAAGTAGCATCTACTAGTACTTCTACTACATTGCCAATAATGTATCCTCCAGATATATCCCATTTGCCTCAATAACTGTTATCAACTTCATCAGAACTTGAACAATCATTAGAAGATAGAACTACTATTGAGACTTCAGAATATATCACTGTCGCCTCATATGATGAATATTATATACATTCCAAAGCTCACGCTCAATTTAATCGAGGTTCTTAAACAATAACTTTAATGCTGTATGTATTGTATGTGATAGATTGTGTCATTGTGGTATGATAACGATTTAAAAAAACCTCCACATTGTTCAAAAGATATTCTTTTATGTGAATTTCTTGGTATTAACATCGAATCATCACTTGTATGTAGAGGAGCCACAAGTTCTATTGAGTGACCCAGACGAGTTTAGCGAAGTGATAGATTATAGATATTCAGTTATAGTATATTGTTGTTCAGCTTACAGTCTAATGTTTATGTATCATGTTATATCGTATTATATTATTATGTCTCGTGACAAAACACATTAAATTTTTTTTATTCTGTAATAATTGTAACACTGATGGTACACCGGTCAGGTTAGGTTATCTATGGCAACGCACAACGCTCAAAGTAATATGTATTCAGTAGATTTTAGTGCGCTTGTCGAATACTCAAGTATTTTTTCGGTTTTAATTACACTGTAAATTTGTTTGTGTTATGCATTAGGAAATAATGAAAAACATGGCTGACGTTTCATTTATCAAACAAATCTATACTTAGAAGAAATTATATAGAAATTCACTTTTGATTTGTAAGCAAAAAAAATAATTACAAATTATACGACAATAGAGAAACATATGCAATGGGCAATGAAATACAGGTGTAACGGTTCAAGTTGGGAATCGTCCGCGGGGGTTAAGAAAAAACACAAATATACAAGAAACAATTACCAAAAATATACAAAAATAATTCCCCCAGACGATTCCCAACTCAAACCCCATTACACCCGTATTTCATTGTCTCGCATATAATTCTCTGTTGTCGTTAACAAACATGACATATTATATAAATAAATTACAATAATATAAATTAATCATTGACTATAGTCATTGAGTATATACTCAATGCTATAGTTTATCATAGGTCGTGATCGAAAGTTGTACCGGTTACGTCTTGGCCGCAGATAATAACGGTCGCGCTGAAAGCGCCTGCCTCGGTACTACTGTGGCATCATTTCCAGTAACAGCCGCGGTATCGGTGCCCGCTTCTACGGCCTCGACGAAAATGACAACATCGCCCTTGTCGTCGATGTTATCGACTGCGTCACCGGCTTCCTTGTAGATTACGACGTTGGCCGTGTCCACGAATGTTGGCGATGGTCTCCTGAAAAAATTACATTTAAATTATTTAAATACAGATTTACCCGACCGGAGAGGGAAAACGACAAATATCTGTGTTTTTCTATGTAGAGGAGAATTTTTAATTTCCATTTTATACCTAGTCGTCGATAATGGAAAAAATTACTAAAAATGCCTTTGGAACAAGGCTTATAACAGATCGGTGAAAACCCGACGGTTTTGGCCAACGCTTGACCACATTTTCAAACTATCACCTTGTGTGTATATAATATAATAATATGTAAGTTTAAGTATATGACACGGCTATACTTGTACCATATTTTTGCCGGACGTGTTTGTTCATCGACAACGTCGTTAGGCTGGCCTATTGATAGACGATCTACCGAGGTATTCGTACATGTCGCTGACAAAATCACAAAATCCCAAATTCCAAAAAGAAAGCAACAATATACAATAAACAGTATACCGGAACCTAACCTAACCTAAATACCTAAATAGTAATAGTGTGATAAATGACAATATTGATTAATAAATTAAAATTATCCACTTTTATAGGATATTCATTTTTAAAGGTTTTGCCATGCATTGAAACAAATGGAGGTTTTTCAACTAAATGGACTTCATAAAGACTACTATTAGTATCACTAAAACTTTCTTCTTTGTCTTCCACATCTTCAACTTCTTTAACTAATTCTGGGTTATCTTCATTTTTAGATGTAATAGTTTCAACACTCATTCCAGGTTCAACATTTAATTTTGTCCTTTTTCGTTGTTGTCGTTTTTGATCTGATGGTCTCATTAATTGTAAGAAGTTCTTTAAACTTCCATCAGTGGTATTTTGAGCTGAAGTATCTGTAGTTATATTTTCAGAATAATTACTAGAGCCTACATATAAAGTACTTTGTCTCTGTTTAGTGGAACGATGCCACATTTTTTAAATCCAGCAATAACATTTTCAGAGCCATTTTCATTTATTTTTAAACAAAGTTTTTTTAAAAGTGTAGGAAACCTGTCTTTATAAACAGTATACAATTCTAAACGAGATAACAAATTATTGATACAAAATTATCAAAAATTAGTAGAAATAAACACAAATTTACCATAACAACGAAAGAGGTTTGTATATTATGCTTGTATAAAACATTTATTTATATAATATGTATTGGTTGTTTTAAAATAACAATCTGATTTCAATGAAAATGTGTTGTTTTATTAGAAGATAATAATAATAATAATAATAATAACGTTTTTGAGTAGCTACTTTATAATAGCACAGGTACATTTTTGAAAAATTTTCATTAGTCGCGATTAATACATTTATAATGCCTTATGGTTTCACGAGTATTTGATTAGCCCCTATATCTGCTAAGTCCTAATATACAAAATATATCAATATTTGGCTTCCAATATCTGTGCACAAGGTAAAGATGCTACCTAGATATCTCTTGCTGTGTACTTCTCTAATTTAACGTTTCTAAAAAAAAAAAAAACTGTCACCTGTCCACTATCACATTATATGGATTCTTTTTTGTTAAAAGAAAATAGATGAGGTTGATATTTTTATCCTAAAAAAAAAAAATAACTGATTTTCATTTAAATTAAAGTTAAATGTGCTATTAAATATTTAATCAGTCACTTGTCCGTTTTTCTAGATGTAAAACTAAATAAAACTAACTAAATTGATGTTAAGATTTTAAAATTTCGTCAGTTCAAGGCAATCATATTATACAACGTAGTAAGTAGTGATTTTTGATCGTTGATAACTAATTTTTTCATTTTTTTTTTACTTCAATAAAATATCATTAAAAAGCAGTATACAGGGTGGTCCACGGGAATAGGGACAAAAATAGACGGGTTTTCCTCAACGTTGAATGGGAGTAGGAAGGTAGCTAGATAAGCTCATTCGATCCGTCAGATAATGGCGTTTAGTTATCACTATGGCGCAGTGGAGTGTTGTTCACCGTGTGTTTGCGTACGACGCGTTTGTGAAAAACAATGAATCGTTAGTTAAAGTGCAGCGCGCATTCAGACTTCACTTCGGCGTCGGACGTCTTGGTGCTGTTCCTAATCGGAAAACAATTATGAGGTGGTTCGATAGTTTTCGAACAACGGGAACAGTTAATAAAAAAAAACCAACTGGTCCCAAACGTACTGTAACAACTCCCGAGAATACGGAGAGGGTACGAGCAGCTGTTCCTCAAATTCCACGACGCTCAGTGCGCAAACAAGCTCAGGCTCTTCAAATTTCTCGTTCTTCCATTCGACGTATCATCTGTGAGTTGAAGTTCCATCCTTATAAATTATCAATCGTTCAACAGCTGAAACCTACTGATTACCGCAGCGTTCAGATTTAGCGTTCATTCAAATTTTATGGATCGACTTTCTTCATGCTACAAAGAAGATGGGCGTCATATGCTGGTGTTATTTTTAAAAAAATGAAATGGCACTTATTTACATATAAGAAAATATTAATAAAATATTTGTACATCTAAAATATACTGAGTTATGTTTATCTATTTTTGTCCCTATTCCCGTGGACCACCCTGTATTCAGTCTCGCTTTGCTTGTCGTTACGAACGGTCGTGTTTGGCTATTATCATAAGCGTTGGTTTTTCTTATTCGCGCCTGTAGTTTATTTTTATTTATTCTGATCGCGTGCACTTTTCAGCGGCTCGCACGACTGCATGTCGACGCAGCCCACCTCTCCCGGCCGCGGATTTTTCTATTTTTTTTTTCTTGATAATACGTCGATTTTAGGTTTCTTATTTTATTTTTTACTTCAGTTACGTTGAAACCGTCAATAGCCATTTCGACAACAATTTTTTGGCACGCATGTGTTTATTTTTGTGAGAACTGTCTTTAGTGTTCCATAGACATTCGTGTGATTTAAACTCCCCAATAAACTTTATAGTGGTTTGTGCATTCCACTTTTCAGCCATTTTAATATTTTAGACTTATAAAATTATTAAATGTATTTAAAAATATTAATATAACGAACAATATTTATCATTGATATTATCACAGTGTGCAACATGCGCCGCACACGTGATAACACAAATATTATTAAGCACTAATACTAATCATTAAGCGGTCACACGTTGCGAGTGCAACCGCGAGTAGAGTAGAGTCGTGGAGAGGGTAGCTACTTATCGTTAGTAAATAGAACGGCGTTCTATTCACTCGCACTCCTGGTTTTACTATTACTAAGCACCACGGTCTTATATACGACCGTCGATCTTGTATATAGTGATGGTAACAAATAACAGAAACTGTGATTTATAACAGTTATCTAACGAGTAGCAGTAACAGTCTGTTACTCAATGAAAAAAATAACAGTTACGCTTATTTTTTTTTATAAATGTGATCACCTTGATGTTTGTGATAAACAGTTAACACCGATAACAGCCTAAATGTTCTAAATCACAATTAACAATTCACATGTTAGTTGTTATTATATTTTTAATACCTAGCTAACTTTAAATTTTACTACTTTTAAAGTTTAATATTATTATTTTATTGACTTTATAGCGTTATTTTTTAAACTTATTGTACAAATTTTTAATTGTTGGTATGACCTAAGTGTTCGGTAATGTTGTGGACTGTATTGGTTTCAAATATATATACAAAAAAAAAAAAACAAATGATAATTAAAGCATGCAGACTACTATTAAACCAAAGTTAAGTATACAAATGTCTTACCGGCTGGCCAGCGCACTACAACAACAATTACTAAGGACTTAAAACTAAAACTATACAATAAGCAAATATTTACAACTTGAAAATACGAGAACGGTGACGGTCGGTAGTGGTGGTATTGCAAGACGGTACGGTCGTCTGAACGGTGGTGAAAGCCCGCAAACTGTTGATTACTTTACGAGAACAAGACTAATTCTTCGAACGTCGCACAAGTACACGAGCTCATCACAGCAGGCGGTTGATATGTAATTAATAATTAAAAAACAACAACAAATAACGAAAAACGGTGTAAAGTTTCTTTTACGCGTGCGGTTAACGGTGCGGTCGGTACGATGCGGTAAACAACAACAAAAAACGGATAGTAAGTGATATGGTGCGGTGGTGGTCGGTGCAGTCGGTGGTGGTGGGACGGTGCCCGGCTTGATAACGCTTGAACATACCGCCCACCTTGAAGAACCGTAGGTCTTCAAACGTTTGACGGTAGCGGACAAAGCTTCACCGCCGGGCGGCGGAGGATCTTGCCCGCGGAGGTGCGTATTTGTGCAACTCGGACGACTCCATCAGTTCCAGAAACCGTATCAACCACTCGAGCTGTACTCCATGTGAGTGGAGGGGTCGGTTCTTGGAGGATGACTAAATCGCCAATTTTTAGATTTGAAACTTGACGATTCCATTTGGTTTTCTCCTGCAGTTTGTGTAAATACTCATGTTTCCACCGAGACCAGAAATGTTGATGTATCTGCTGTATTAAAGACCAACGCTTGTGGGTACTGATATGGGTTTGACTAATTTCATCCTGAGGAGATGGAACAGCGACTAGAGGCTCCATAGTAAGAAAATGTCCTGCGGTTAAGGTCGTGAAGTCGTTAGGGTCGGATGACATGGTACATAAAGGCCTCGAGTTAAGAACGGCTTCTACCTGGTGTAGAACGGTATTGAGCTCTTCGTAGGTTAGAATCCTATCTTGAACCACACGGTGAAGTAATGTCTTAGCAGACTTGACGGCTGCCTCCCACAGACCTCCCATGTGTGGTGCTGCGGGCGGGTTAAAATGCCAGTGAATCTGCGTACTGATGACGTGATGAACGAATTTTGATTCTCTAATTATGGTATCTACCTCCTTTAGGTATCGCTGACTGCCCACAAAATTCGTGCCACAGTCACTGTAAATATCTGTGCAACGACCCCGTCTGCTAATAAACCGGTTTAGGGCGGCAATAAAAAGAGGCGTGGACATGTCTGACACGAGCTCGATATGAACTGCTGTGGTAACCATGCAAACAAAGATGCAAAGGTAAGCTTTGGTAACTTTAATTTTCCGTAACATTGCGGCCTTCACTTGAAAAGGACCGGCAAAATCTACACCAGCGCGACTGAACGGTTTGACCTGGGTAACTCGAAACACTGGAAGATTTCCCATCAAGGGCGGGTTTGGTCGTGGTTTTACTCGAAAACATGGGATACATTGGTGTATTCGCTTCCTGATGATGCTACGAGCCGAAAGAATCCAGTAGTTTTGGCGTAAAATGTTGTGTGTAGTTTGAGCTCCCGGATGACTCTTAGTACGATGCACAAAATCTATCAGCAATTCAGTCAATTTAGAATTTTTCGGTAGCAAGATGGGGTACTTTTCGTCGTAAGGAATTGGTGAGTTTTTCAAGCGACCACCTACTCTGATTAACGATTTCTCATCTAAGAAAGGTGATAACTTACGTACGGATGCAGGTACTTGTTTGTCTGTAGCAATAGCTTTTTTGATGTCTGCAAAAAATACTCGCTGCGTCCATCGTGTTAACGATCGTAAAGATCTCTCGGTTTCGGCCACTGTCGGAGGGAAAATACAAGCCGAAGGTTTTCCCAATAAATGATCTCCAACACGCAACCAGTAAGCCGTAAGTCTCAAAATTTTTTGCAGATTATCAGATTGATATAAAAGGCGGCTCTCTTCTTCTTTTACCTGAGATATAAGCGTGATTGGCTTCTCTTCCGCCTCTTCTTCCAAACGGCTGTCTGGACTGTCAGCGTTTTGAGCTGGCCAAGTATTTTTAGGTTGACACAAAAATGTAGGACCTTTCCACCATAAGTCATGGTTAGTAAGTTGTTGAGGACTTAGACCCCGTGAAGCGCAATCAGCAGGGTTCTCCTCGGTTGGAACGTGACGCCACGTGTACCCTTTAGTCAACAGCTGAATCTGGGCGACTCGGTTGGCAACAAACGTTTTTAACCTACTAGTAGGGGATTTAATCCATGCCAGCGCAACAGTGGAATCGGTCCAGGCGGTTACGGTGCCAATGGATAAAGATTTTAGGTTTTTGGAGACGTAATCCAAAAGGTGTGCTAATAACCACGCACCGCACAGCTCTAACCGCGGGATGGACATTTTTGTGGTTGGAGAAATTTTTGCCTTACCCATTAAGAGATGACAACCTATTCTATTACTTGTACATACCCGCAAATACACTATTGCTGCGTACGCGGCTTCCGAACTATCGCTGAAACCGTGTAGTTCATAGAGTGCGTTTGGACTGGTTACTAATCGGGGTACACGCAAGGTTGCCAGGATTGGTAACTCTTGATGATATTGCTGCCACGCATATTTAGCATCTTCGGGTATAATGTCATCCCAGTCAACTTTCAAGACCCATAGATATTTTATCAAACGTTTTAGAACCGTGGTTACTGGTGCCAATAGACCTAGAGGGTCATAGATTCTAGCGATCTCGGATAAAATAGCTCGCTTGCTGTATTTAACCGGATTGGGTTGATATTTGTAGCTTAGTGAATCAACCTTCGGATCCCAATTTAGTCCCAAGACTTTGGTATATGTCAACTCATGTTCTTCAAACGTCACTGGTAGTGTTTGTTGGTGATCGAGTGGAATGTTACTCAGTAATTTGTCGGAATTACTTGACCATTTGCGTAACTCAAAGTGACCTTTTGCAAACGTGTTTTCGAGTTTTTTCTGCAGATCTATTGCAGCTTCTTCGCTTTCGGCTCCGGTTGCTATGTCATCTACATACAAATCACGTTTAACAACTGTTTGTACAAGTGGTTCATTTACTGCTTCATCAGTTGCCAACTGATGCAGAGTGCGGATGGCGAGAAATGGAGATGACTTTTGTCCAAAAGTTACCGTGTTCATTTGATATTCTTGAACTGGTTCATCCAAAGAGAACCGGTAAAGCAAGCGTTGGTACGGTCGGTGAGCTTCGGTCACAACAATTTGTCTGAACATTTGTTTTACGTCAGCGGTAAAAACAACAGAATGAAGTCGGAAACGTAAAACAATTCCCGGTAAGTCCTGCTGTAATCTTTGACCGCAATAAAGATTGTCGTTCAATGAGTGACCCGAAGAAGTTTTTGCGGACGCATCAAACACGACCCGCAATTTAGTAGTAGTACTTTCCGGACGTAATACAGCTTGGTGTGGGATATAATACATATTTTCTTCACCGTCGGATTTTTTCACTACAGCGGACATGTGACCTGTTTCTAAGTAGTCATACATTGCCATATTGTACTCTTTATGAAGTTCTGGTGATTTTTTGAACTTATTTTCCAAACTTCGTAAGCGATGCAGCGCTACGTCTCTGGATTTCCCAAGTAGAGGGGGATTTCGTGTGAACGGAAGATGCACTATGTATCGTCCATCTTGTTGTCGTGTTGTGGTTGTTTGATAAATTTGCTCACACTCTAAATCGGCTGGGTTATTTTTCTCAACTTTTGGAACTTCTTCGATCTCGAAAAATTGTTGTAACGTATGATTTACGGATTCAGACGAACATAAGGTGATAATTTGTTGTTTTGGACCGTTGGTCGTTTTACCCATCAAAACCCAGCCAAACACCGTAGATAGCGCTATCGGTTCATCTACCTCACCTTCTTCCTTGTCGCCTAAGAGAAGCTGTGGAAAGACATCAGCGCCGAGCAAGACATCAACTGGTAACGCTTCGGCAAACGATGGATCGGCTAACTTCAAACCTTTGATGTGTGGCCATGAATGATTCCACACTCTTTTCGACGGAACTGGTCCAGTAATACGCGTTAGAATTAAAACGTCAATGCTGAACATGGGACTTTGTTGGTCGACCGGTCGTACTTCGACATTAGCTCTTCCTCTTACCGCTGGGACTTCAGCTCCGGACAACGCTTGAACGGTTACATCACACTTTTCTCTTTTTAAGCCTAAAAGCTGGACACAACGTTCAGTGACAAAGCTACTTTGACTTGCGCTGTCAAGTAGTGCTCTTACTGTAACCGATTGACCATTTTTGTTTTGCAGAACTACAGAGGCTGTCGCTAATAAAACGGACGTATGATAACCTTTTGTTTCTGCAGCCGCAACGGTTAAATGGGTCGTGGTAACGTTCGGTTCGGTTTTTTCCAAATGCAGTAGAGTATGGTGCTTACCCCCACACGTAGAACAGTTTCGTTGGTTTTTACATTCACTGGCCATGTGCGCACTGAAACAGATAAAACATCTTTTCAATTCCTTGATTGTTTGATGCCGTTCGGTTGGTGTTTTATCTTTGAACGATTGACAGTTTATCAGCAAGTGACCCGGTTGTGTATTACAGACAGGACAGGAAAATGACTTATTCTTCCTTCCCTGTTCAAGCTTTCGTTCTGGTTGGCTGCTGAATAATGTGATAGATTTGTTTGGTTTGAGTCCTTTTGTGGTTACCTTGACACTTCCTTGCGATACGGTAGCTGATTTGCAGTATTTTGTTAAGAACGTGGTAAACTCCTTCATAGATGGGTCCTCGGAGGTATCTACTAGTAGTTCCCATTGCGCTCTTAAATAATTGTCTAATTTCTTTTGTAATAGATGTAGTAGAATGGGGTCCCATTGATCTACTGCATACGATAGATTTTGGAGAGCACCCGTTGATTCTAAAATTACATTTAGTAGTTTTCTTATAGAACTACCATCACCGAAGGTTGCTCTTGGCGCGTTAAATAGAGCTTCAATGTGACTATCCGCGATAACACGGCGGTTTGAATAACGATCAGTTAACTGCGCCAAAGCTAGTTCGTAGTTGCTATCAGTCAACATGAGATTAGATACCAAACTTAATGGTTCTCCCACCAAATAAGATTTCAAGTAACCAAACTTCACCACTGGCGACATATTAGATTCACCAACTAATTTGTCAAACATATTCCTAAAACTGGTATATTCCATAGGGTTTCCACCAAATTTAGGTACTGCTAATTTTTCGATCGGGTGATAGGGTTGTGAGGCGCTGAGAGCTTTTGATTCAAAAAATGTTTTGTTGAGCGAATCGTCGACAACTGCCTCCGGTAAGTATTCGTCCGCAAATATTTTACATCCGATATACTTCTCCTCAAAAAGAGCACGCACACTATCGGTGTCGATAGCATCTACCACGGGTGTACTTTTACATTGGTGACGTATTATTACCATTAATTGCGTTTCAAAATCCGAATATAAATTTTCTATTGTCGCAAACATAATTTTAAATTTAGTTTTGGCCAACTTGTTTGAAGAATCATTTCCCAATGCTTCCCCGGCCTCGTATACGCGCTGTACTCGACACTGAAGACTTGTTATGCGCGCCTTTGCTTCCTCGTAAACTCCCATTGTGTAATTTATAAAGCACAGGAACAGAAAAATAAAAAAAATAAAAATAAAAAATGAAAAATTAGAAATACAATTTTTTTTTTTTTTTTTATACTTGGGGTCACGCTGTATACACGCACACAAGACGTGGCGGCGCGCGGTGTTATGCAGCGAGCGGCCGCGAGCTTTGGTAACGCGGTGCGGTGTCCGTTGCCTTCGCGGCGCGGGGTGGCTACGTCCACTTATCGCGTGTATACTCGCGTCGTACTATACCGACGGCAGGGTCCAAAGTCCAACTTTGCACACGCGCAACAAGTGTATTATTATACGCCAACTTAAAAACTTAAAACTTAAAACCGGTGGTTCAACCACTTAGGAAAACTTAATACTAAAATACATAAATAATCCGGTTCGAAGGACCAATAATGTTCGGTAATGTTGTGGACTGTATTGGTTTCAAATATATATACAAAAAAAAAAAAACAAATGATAATTAAAGCATGCAGACTACTATTAAACCAAAGTTAAGTATACAAATGTCTTACCGGCTGGCCAGCGCACTACAACAACAATTACTAAGGACTTAAAACTAAAACTATACAATAAGCAAATATTTACAACTTGAAAATACGAGAACGGTGACGGTCGGTAGTGGTGGTATTGCAAGACGGTACGGTCGTCTGAACGGTGGTGAAAGCCCGCAAACTGTTGATTACTTTACGAGAACAAGACTAATTCTTCGAACGTCGCACAAGTACACGAGCTCATCACAGCAGGCGGTTGATATGTAATTAATAATTAAAAAACAACAACAAATAACGAAAAACGGTGTAAAGTTTCTTTTACGCGTGCGGTTAACGGTGCGGTCGGTACGATGCGGTAAACAACAACAAAAAACGGATAGTAAGTGATATGGTGCGGTGGTGGTCGGTGCAGTCGGTGGTGGTGGGACGGTGCCCGGCTTGATAACGCTTGAACACTAAGTATTATTATTCATAAAATTAATTTTAAAAAATAACTCATACATAATATAATATATATAATACATAATAATAATATATATATAATTATATTTTTGTATTATATAATGATTAATCTGTTTTACTTATTGCATAGATAATAAAAACCTTTTTTAACTTATTAGAATATTAACACAGCAAGTATAAATTATAATATTATAATTTCATATTGAATTATAGTTTAAAAACAATAGCATCTCCACTTTGTCACTTTTGAGACGACAACGACGATCATTCAAAATAAGCCCTGCTTTTGAAAATATGCGTTCACAAGGAACTGAAGTACCAAGGCAACATAAACTCCTCTTAGCCAAAATATGTAAATATGGATAGTTGTATTTATGATCTTTCCACCATTTTAGTGGATCTAAATTTCTTTGTAGCATACTATCTTCCAAGTACCTTTGGACTTCAATTATTGCCCGTGACCTTGAGGTTCCTGAAGGTATTAAATTGGCTACGCTCGCGTCAACTGTTTCCCAAATTGATAAACTATTTGATGTGTCTACACAGTTATATACAGATTGATCTTGATTTTGTACATTAATTTGGTTAGATCTTTCTAGGGATATTATTTCAGCTATTTTTTCAGTTACCTCATTTTTTGTGGTTTCACACAGCAAAGCGTTTTTATTAAAAGGGATATTTTTAAAACGGGGATCCAAGAAAGTACACCGGCATAAAGTTTTACTCTTATCAATATTTTTCCATACATCTCGACTTTCCATATTATCCATAAGTTTTTTTATAATAGTATGTGTTCTATTATTATATTCCATCGTAAGTAGTAGTAATTTGGGGCTTTACCGCCCATTTTTACAAATTATAGTTTAGCCTTATATATTGTTTAGTATAGAAAATTATTTGTAACATTGAGTGTTTTACTAAATAAGAAGTGGAAGAAATAAATCATATATAAAAACATGTTTCAAATAAATGATAGTCATTTTAATTCAATTTAAACAGTATAATAATGGATGATTATAATAGTGAATGTGATGTTTTTTGTACATTAGACTATTTAGATTGTAAAACGCGTAACAAGACTTTTGATAAATGTAGTAATACACTACTTATTTCAAAGCGAGAACTTATGAGTGAAGCCGGTTTTATTTATATTGGTGATGGATCAAATGATGATGTCTCATGTTTTTATTGTCGTCAAGGTCTGAGATCTTGGGAGCCGAACGACGAACCTTGGATCGAGCATGCAAGATGGTCTCCAGATTGTGGTTATCTTCGGTTAGTGAAGGGTTCACCTCATTGATTTTAAAACCTATTAAATAAAAAAAAGATGTTAATTTATTACAACATTCTTACATTTAAATTAACTCTTTAAATACTAGTAAAACCATGAATTCACATTGTAGACGCAGTGGCGTAGTAGGTTAAGGCGTGACTTTCTAGGATAAATTTAATAGGATGTAGATTGATAGCACTCATGCTAGGCTAGGTAGGTTGAGGTTGAGTCATACTTTAATTCATTCCGTCACTGCGTCTACACTTTTTGCATTTTTTTTTTTTCCAATTTAAAAATAAAATATAGCGGTAAGAAGAGGGGGGGGGGGCTAATATAGTTAATCAAATGTTTTTCAAGTGTTTAGTACATAGAGTTTCGTATAGTAGTACAGTCGATGTTAAAAGTATTATTCCAAGCACAATGCCTTGTATTAAATGTAGTCTACTAGAAGCTATTTATAATTTTATAATTAAATTAGACAAAATTGAACATTCAAATATAGAAAAATCTACATCTAAAACAAAACTTGAGGAATCTTTTGAAGAAGTTCTACACCAGACAAAAGAATTACAAAATGTAAAGAATCTAAAAATTGCACAACCCATTTGGTCAATTACACTGGAATAAGTGGAAGAGGGGGTATGTTTTATACTCAAGGTTTGTATATATATATACGTCATCTTTATGCTAAAGATATAAGTAGTTAATATAGAGTTAAGTTGTACGGACGTTTATGTGCATGCTAAAATTTTATTTAAACAAAATGGCAAATGTGTTATCTAAATCTACGTTCACCATTGACCCCAAAAGAACTATCTCGGTAGGTATTCTTTTAAATAAAAAATTATCTATTATTGTTTATTTAGATTTTAAAATAGTCAAGACCAGCTAATTCTTGATGAAAAACAGTGGCGTACTCTGATGGAATTTCAAATATTCAACAACATTGTGAACACAATTCAAAACAATGCAAAGCGAATACAATTAGGTTCAGATTTTAGTTGTACTACTAACCCTAAAACAGATTCAGTGATATTACGTAATAAAAATGAACGTATGAAATTGACGCGTATAAATTTGTTAACACTTCAGATGATTTCAAATTGTATTGAAGCACATATAACTGAACGCTTAAATAAGTTGGAGTTGTATCAAAAATCTTTTAACGATATATATTCAGCTATACTTAATGATGTTAATAATTTTTCAAGTGAATGTCGACGTATCGATTTCATAACGGCTTTTGTCGCAAACTATGATTTTCAAATGTTTGCAACGGATACAAATGCGCTATTCATCCATGAATTAAAAATTAATTATGATCAAATTATAAATTTGATTATGCGAGAACTTCTAGTAACTATAGTATAATTTCGAAAAGGAAAAAAAATATATGTATTGAGAGAGGGAAAACGTATACAAGCTAATTATTTAAAAAAATATTTCACTCGTTTTAGTTTAGAAATAGCCGTCTTACAAGAAGGTATAATAATGCCTTCACATTTAGAATGCTGCTCCTGTCGAAAGTGTCGTTTGTTAAAATATATAATTATTGAAGCAACCAAAAATAGTGTTAAAATAATTAATCAAAACTTAGAAAATGATATTTCAGTATTAATTGTGAAAACGCCAGATGCTCGTCGATCCAAGCGCTTACAGAATAAAAAATTCAACAAAATCTGAGTGAACGAGGATTATTTTTAAAGTATTATTAATCTTATTAAATAATGTAATTGTATTGTGAATTTAAAAAAGTGTTTAATAAACATTCTATTAACTAATCAATTGTGTTATATATATATATATATATATATATATATATATTATATAATTACTCACATTTAAGTCTCATAGCGTAGAGTACACATGACAATAATTTCCAACAACTCTATCTGTTAACCTTTAAAAAAAAAAATATATTGAAATATTTTTTTATTTTACTAATTTAAAATCAGCTTACAGTGATCTCTAACGTTCATGTTTTCAACAATAATAAATACCTCCCTAAAAACCCTAAAAAAAAAAACAGTATAATATTAATTCAACAATAATTAAAAAAATTAAACTAACTTACATATTAATCCGAATCAGTTAGCCAAATGGTTTCAATAGCTGGCTGATTAAGACGCAGAAGTGGAGGTAACACGTCTGCATCCGATTCATAAGTAACATCTGTTGATGACCCTTTTTTTTTAAAAAAAAAAAGAAGAAAATATTATTTTATTTCAAATAAAAAAAAAATTAACTTACATGAATCTGCTAGCGAAATTATTGATGGTTCTGATGTAGACCAATTTCCAATTCCATGTTCGTCATCTGTATCCGCTAAATAAAAAAAGTACGTTACTTATTTTGTAAATAAATGTTAATATTTATTTATTAACCCACCGTTGCTAAACTTTTTCCATTATTATTAATTACTAGTTAAACTCAGAACATTGAATCATTCAAAGAAATATGTATCTTTTTACTCACTACTAATTGATAATATGTTTTTTTTTGTAATTACTATTATTAGAAAATAAAAAAAATAAAAAAAACTATAAGTTTATTTTTTAAAAAAATTGTATAGTACAAAAAAAACCTTAAAATGTGCTCTGTGTGAAACGATGGGTTAAATAAAAAAAACTTACATTCCAACCACAGTGTTGATTTACTATGAAAAGACTTCACGTCGCTACTCGAGCTCCAAGGAGAATATGAAGTCGACGAGAGCGACCGTTGACGTAGGGGTGATAATGAAAAAAAACTAGAACTGGAATTAACACTTACCGATCGACTTCGCGATGCGGTAGTATCAGTCTCAAGAGATGTGTAAGAACCTATCCGTCGCCGTTGTGTTCGGATTTTACGCGGTCGCCGCCGTCGTTTGCAACGCCTCACCGTTCTAGCAGACGATGGATAGGAATCGCTGTCCATTTTGAACTAACAGCTCTTACTTATACACTAAGTTTGATAGTAAAAAAAAAAATCCCACTTACTTTTTAGTGAAACAGTTTCGCCTTGTAATAAATATAATCATTTGAGTCATAGCAACCATTACACAAAAAAAAATTACTACGATTCATTGAACAAGACACACCGCGTCAATGAAACCCTGTGGTTAGTTGTATTCTATACGCTGCGTGATCTGTGTTTATGCGGTTTATGTGGGTAATGATTGAGTCTAGTTAACTTTCTTCACACGTGAATAAACATTAATATTATTATTATATACCTTTACTATACTACTGAAAAAAAACAATGATTTCTAATTTAAAATATTTTATTGTAATACTATATAATCTTATCTTAACAGTATATCGTTACGTTAAAATCATACAATATTATTATTATAATGAAATGTTCGCCACCATTATTATTATTGTTATACTGCTGAAAAAAAAAACAATGATTTCTAATTTATATTAATACTATAATGATACTAATATAAAATATAACAGGTGGTATTATACCTCTGCTATACTACTGAAAAAAAACAATGGTATATAAGTAAAAAATATAACTTGTCTTAACAATATATCATTACGTTAATACCATACAATATTAATATTATTATTATGAAAAGAACCTCCACCATCATGTATTTAAAATAGTTGATATAGCTGTAATAATATCATTCCTTTGTCATTTTTACTGTGCGAGATTCATCTGATAAAAATTTTTCTCCCAATTCATCAAATAGATTTTTCAATAAATTGTTGATTTTAGAATTCGCCTTATTATTTGTAAGACCAATTTTAGCAGATCGGTTCACTTTTCGCCATCTATAAAAAATTAATTATGCTACGTTTTGGTACCAAAATAAAAAAAAAATTCTCACCTCTCACTATAGGATAATCCTAATACATCATTTACCAAATATTCTTGTATAATTATATAAGACGTTGGACTCGGTGTTTTAATATTAATGACACATTTTTGATTATTGTCACGTAAAAGCAGCATCGATTCTTCATAGTTCGCTTCATCTAAAATAACTGCATCCTTTAACGCTTTTTGAAAAATTGTTGACTGAAAATACATAATTTTACTATTTAAAAAAAAAACAAAAAAAGTATATAAATAAATAATACCGTTTTGTTGTTTTTTGACTGTTTTCTTATATTTTTGCTAACTACTTTGGGTTTCTTGACTTGTGGTGGATCAAACGAGCTTGATTCATCATTTCTCTGTGAGGTCTCCTAAAAACATTTTTTATATCATTCATATTATTATTATTATTTAGTTAACTTACTGCGAAGAAGTCCTCGTCGGATGATTCCAGAATCGACATTTTGTTTGTAAAATAAATTCGAACTGTACTGTCACACAACTAATGTTAATATAACTCCGATGTTTATGTTTTTTCTCGTTTTATACCAATCTTGACAAATAAAAAATATCCCACCATAGTGCTAACGTTCAAATTTGCATGGTAAAAATAACTTAAGCGAAAATATGTACGGAGTGGGATGATTCTGTTTTTTATAATACCATGTAGAGTGTCTTCGAAATAATAATATGAGAAAGATAATTAACCTTCTTTTATTCATTCCAGTTGTAACATTGTAACAATCATTGTACAATAGCTAAAAAAAAAATTTATAAATACGATTCAATGAACTAACCACAGACCACAGAAACCCTACGATTCGCTGCGTGTTACAATCCTTGAGGAACCTAACTGCTATAGACGTTTAACTATATTCTCCAAGCGAGGTCGATTTAATTTTTTTTTTAATAACACTATAGAAGTGGTATATGTTGTGAATGTCTTTAAAATTATAATATGAGGAGGAGAATAACCTTTCGACTGCATAAATACTGCCTAGTCGTGTGTTTTAAACATCAGTCTGTGATCGTCTTTTACCAGTGGAAACACCGTCTCCTGCTAGTGAAGTGTTTTCGACAGTACTATATCATTCTTAGCTATGTAAGTGTAATAATTTTTTACTTAAAGACATTTAATTTTGTACTCTTGTTGTGTAGTGCTCTTTAAAAATATATTTTTTATTTAAGTCGCCGTCATTTATTTGATAGCAGTGCTAATAAAAATATATATTTTAATTATGTCACCAACGGATGCATAAATTAAGCTATCAGTTCTAATTTTGTACTCTTGTTGTGTAGTGCTCTTTAAAATCATATTTTTTTATTTAAGTCGCCGTCATTTATTTGATAACAGTGCTAATAAAAAATATATATTTTAATTATGTCACCAACGGATGTGTAAATTGAGCTATCAGTTCTAATTTTCTACTCCAGTTGTGTAGTGCTCTTTAAAATCATATTTTTTTTTATTTAAGTCGCGTCATTTATTTGATAGCAGTGCTAATAAAGAATATATATTTTAATTATGTCACCAACGGATGGAAAATATTGAGTGTCTTTTTAAAAAAAAAAATAGTATGAAGAATGAACATTATGATTCTTTTTTTTTTAGAATATCGTTACAGTCCTCACCACTCTCAAGGTCAACTCATTCAAAAACTGTTAAGGTATGGCACAACAAACTTCCACACTTTTATTAAACCCTAAAGAAAAAATAAAAATTATTAAAGCACTAGGCAAGCCTAGCAAACATGCTAGGAGAAGAAAGACTTATAAAAATAAAATAAAAAATAAATTACATGATGAAATAATAAAAAAAATGTACAATATAATAAAAACAATAAAAGAAAATATTTAAATTTATCAATAATTTTGTTGTTGTTGTATTTGTATATGATTATGTGACTCTTGGTTTTATATTTCTAGTTTGAAAAAAAAAAAAAAACATGAAAATTACGAAAAACATTCGTTTGAGTTCAACTGGTGATGGTTTACAAGAAATAGGAAGATTTAGGTCCAGGTCGAAAACTTTCTTTTTAAAAAATAAGTTAAAGTTTCTAGACTTTATACTTTTTTTCAAATATGCTACTACATTTATTTTACCAAAAATTAAGGAAGCGTGTAAAAATAACTCAATTAAATTTAATCTTCACTTGGATTGTGTGTATGAAAATGTTTTAACTTTTGAGTTGCAAGATATTTCGTTTAAAACAAAAAACACATTTACAACATCAGGATCCGATTTTACAGTATTGTTGAATAATATATATGGTAAACTTTTGAAGGAAGAAAGTGAATTTATTGCTAAAGGCAGTGGTTGGTCTCTTCGAAATATTGATGGTATACCTTTAGAAGGTTCATCATACATTCCTCTACCACAAAAAATTCAGGGTAGAAGAGCTATAGTTAACATAAATAATAACGACGAAAAATGTTTTAAGTATGCAATATTGTCTAAGTTTGATAGGCGTAATAATAAAAGTAAATTCTCTAAAAAATATTTTGATTATTTAGAGACTAAAAATAAATTTGATTTCAAGTGTATCACATTCCCAACTTCGATTAAAGAAGTAAGACAATTTGCAAAGATCAATAATGTTTCCATTAACATATATGGACTAGACAGTAAATCATTAATTTATCCAATACTAGTTTCCGATATTGAAAAACTAAACCATTTTGACTTACTTTTACTTAGCAACACTTCACGACAACATTATTGCTTTATATCCAATTTTTCAAGACTTATTAGGTCTCAAAGAACTAAACACAAAGAACAAATAAATATCTGCAAACGATGTTTTACTATTTTTAACAACACACCTTGTAAGAATAAATTATGGGGGTTTGAAGGACTACGAGAACATAAAAAATTCTGTTCTCAACATAAATTAAGCAGACCAGTTATGCTTGAAGATCATGATGATTCTGTAATCAAATTTACAAATTATATAGCTACTCAACGCGTACCAATAGTGATCTATGCAGATTTTGAATGTTTTTTAAAACCTCTTATGGAACAGTCAAATGAAAAACAGAAATCTATTAAAACTTTTCAACACAAACCGATGAGTTTTGGCTTTTATGTTAAAATTGATTACACAACCATTCCACCTGAATTAGTTAATGAACTTAAAATACCTAAAAAACCAGTTATTTACAGAGGTGAAAATGCTGCCAAAAAATTTATGGAAGCTCTTATAAAAGTCGGAGAAGAAGTAGATAAATTATATCAAACAAACATAGCAATGAATCCTTTAACTAGTGAAGAAACAAATCGATTTCAAAACGCTAGCAATTGTGAAATATGTAAGCGATCTTTTATCAATACCATAAAAGTTAGAGATCACTGTCATTTTACGGGTAAATTTAGAAATGTATTATGTTTGACCTGTAATTTCAAGTTGAAAAATGTAACTTTCATTCCAATTTATTTTCATAACTTAGCGTACGATAGTCATTTCATAGTACATCAATTAGGAATAAATAACAAACGAATTGATGTTATTCCTAATTCGAGTGAAAAATATATTTCATTTAGCAAAGAAATTTCCAAAACTATGAAAATAAAATTCATAGATACGTTTAGATTTATGTCAGAGCCTTTAAGTACGCTTGCTAATAATTTAGCCGAAGACAAATCTAGGTTTAAAGAGACATTACGATTTTTTTCAATAGATAAATTAGATTTAGTATGTCGTAAAGGTTGTTTCCCCTACGAATACGTGAATAACTGGGATAAACCTGAACAGACTTATTTACCATCCAAAAAACACTTTTACAACTCACTAAATGATGAAGAAATCAGTAACCAAGATTATAACCATGCGAAAACTGTGTGGAATACATTTAGAATAAAAACTTTAGGTGAATATTCTGATCACTATCTGTTGACTGATATTTTAATATTAGCCGATGTTTTCGAGTCATTTCGAAATCTTTGTATGAACACATTTCATCTTGATGCATCACATTATTTTACAGCTCCAGGATTCGCATTCCAAGCAATGTTGAAATTTACTAATGTTGAACTTGAAAGGCTAAAAGATTATGATATGCATCTCATGCTTGAAACCGGTATTCGCGGAGGTATCTGTAACAGTGTTAAACGA